GAGTAAAATTATAAATTTATTAAATTCAATGAGTTAAATTTAAGTAATTTAGTTATTATTTTCTGTCAAAATCACTACGGCATTATCAATTGGATGAAATTGATACAAAATTTAAAATTAAGAGTCAAAATTGAGTCAATTGAAAGTGGAAGGACTAAAATGACACAAGAAATAAAATATAAGAATCACTGGTATAATTTGTCATAATTATTTTTTATATATTTTCTTTTAGAACTGCATTTTTCAGAAAGGGTCCAGCTTGTCTATTGTTTGAGATCAAGACTAGACCGTCCAGTCTAGTCCATGGGCTTATTTTTAGGTCTCATTTCGATAATCTAAACCGTTAATGTGTAAAACTCGTCGAGTACAAAATCTCTGTAAAAAATCACATTAATCGGATATCGATAGCTATTTGATCAGACCCAATTTCTGTCAACCGTTTATTTTTTCACCGTCTATTTTTTTATACAAATCTGATACGATCAAATAGTTATGGATATCCGATCAACGTGATTTTTTATAGGGATATAGTACTTGACGAGTTCTATACATTTAACGGTTTGAATTATTGAAACGGGATTCAAAAATAAACTCATAGAACAGACTAAACGGTTCAATCTTGATCTCAAACATAAGACCAGTTGGACCCTTTCAAAAAATTAGCTAACAAGTCATGAGTTTCCACATAGTTGAACTAATTAAAATGCTTTTACTTTTCCATTCTACAAAACTAATTATCCAAGAAAATAGCCTTTATATGTTTTAGAAATAATAGGATTGGATTTATATTACTGTGTACATAGTGGTCCCTATTTGTCTAACTATCACATTCAATGTTTACTCTTGAAACCAACTTTAGAAAATTTAGAGACAATGATTTAAGGGAAACATATGGTACACACCTTTTAAAAGATGTGTATTATATATATATATATATCATATAATTAAAATATAAAATATCATACTTTCATACTTTTTGAATCATAACTAGAAATATTTTTTTTATCATAACTAAACACAATATGAGACATAATTACATATCTCATGAGTTATAACTAAAATAATATCATAACTAAAAAATAAAATGACATAATTAGGAGTGCTTATGGTACACCCTACGTTACATAGACTCAGGTACAAGTATCGGGTACGAGTGTGGATGTGTATCTAGGAATTGGATACTTCAAAATTAAAAATTAAGAATACGTGGATATGGATCCAAATTTGAATACTGATACGGGAATACATTAAATAGTTATTTTTAAAATATATTTATTATTTATTATCTTATGTATTATTTTTATTGATAATATTTTTAATTTATTTATATAATTTTTTTATTTTTAATTGATATATATATATATATATTATAAATTAAAAAAATATAACAAATAAAGAATAACAAATTATGTTAAAATAAATAATAAATAAAAAATGGATGATTTGTTTTTATAGATTTTATTAGAATCTTACGATTCGCGATTTTTGCAAAATCGATATAAACTTATGAGTGAATCTATTTTGGAAGTGAATCTCCAGTGAATCGCATGATTCACAATCGATTTACGATTTGATTCACATTTTACAATTCATGCAATTTTTGAAATTATTGTGTCTGACATATTTTCGACTATTTTTTTCCTCATCTTTTTAGTGAAAATGGCATAATACAACTTTTAATAGCGTTTAATACCAACATAACTAACATATATATGCATGATTTGTTATTATTTTAGTGAATATGGAGTTTTTAATAGGATTCAATCATATTCAGTGTAACGCCCGATATTTACACCACGATATGCTACCAACCCAATATATGAACAATAAGCACAGGTACACAATTCAATAATTGGGATCTATCACAATAAGCTCGGATCTATCACATTCTCAACACACACAACACATTTCAAAGTAACCCATTTTAATTAACTCAACACACTTGGCCCCAAAGCCATGAAGACACGATGCAATACAATGCAAATGGGTTGCCAATATCATAGTTTGCCTAAGGTTCAAATCATTACTACAAAAATAATTAACATGAAACATGAACAAGGCAATCTCAACAATTTCCATAATCATCTCATATAGCAACATCAATTCCAAATTCTCCATTGTGCCAACATCATGTGAATATCAACTCAAAATGACTCAAGTTCCACTTAGAAACATTTCTCAAGTAAGTTATCTCATTTCCAATAAACTTCCAAACTAAGGTTCCAAAATAATTTAATCCACAACTTCTACACTAGTTTCATCAAATTATTAGGATTTACCCATTTCATAGTTTCCATATATTCCAATACCATATTAATGTCAATTTTAACATGAAACTATCAATTAGTCCAAAATCCCCTTTTACTCAATATTTCAAACCTAGGGTTTTAAAGAAAATTAGGGGTTTTCCTCTTTTCTTAGTTAAATCCTCAAATCATCAATTACTATTTATAAATATGCTAAAAACATTCAACACCCTTTGAAAATTTGAGTGAAAACCCCATTTGTAAATAAACAACTAGCCATTAATGTTTTCTAACCCATAATCAACTCAAAATCCCAAAATGTCACCAAAACCACTTTGAATCATAAATATTTAAGACTAAGAGAACTCCCTACCTCAAGATTGGATGCAAAGAAGCTAGATCAAAAGCGTCCTTTTGAAAATCCAAAATCTAATCGGTTGAAAATGTTGATCTTTACTTGTTCTTCATCTTTGATGCAAGATCCATGATGGATTGTTGGTAAGGATGGATGAAATCAAAGTTTTAGGGGCTAGGTTTTCGGACATGGAGGAGAGGAGAAGAAGAGAGAATGAAAAAGTAAGGTTTTTGGGCTAAAAAGTCGCTTTATAATGTCTGTTAGTGACCTGGTCACTCGAGCGAATGAAGCTTGACTCAAGCAAGGAAAAGAAGCTCTCAGATTTTCTGAAAAACGCACTCTTCGCTCGTGCTAATAAAGTCTCGCTCGAGCGAGCATGGTTCCAACACAGAAACTCAAAATTAGAACAAGCATAACTCTCTCGTTCGGACTCCGTTTTAGGTGGTTCTTGTGTCCAAATCGAAGCCCCGGAAACAAGCTTTCCAATGGTTCCAGCCTCACATCCAAATTCAAAGTATGGAAAAAGAAAAGGGCAAAAGAGTGAAGGCTGGTCAAAAACAAAAATTCAAACTTGGGGCTTTTGATCTAATCTTAGCTAAATTTCTTGTTAAGGCTTCAATTAAGGTTCCAAACATCACTCAAGAGTCCTCAATTATAATATTTAAAGTTCATTTGCCAACCTATCAATACCAAGAGTCCGACAACCAGACAAGTTTTAAGGTGACGAACACCAATTTAGACCAATCCAATAAGTATTAGAATCCGAGCCACTACATTCAGTCAGACTCAACATATTTTTAACTTTTCTTCTCAATTTTTTCCTCTTAAAAATTATAATCTATCTTCTAAAGATATTTAAGATTAAAGTTACACTATAAATTATCTATTGCTATTCTATTAAATTGAATATAATTGAATATTACATGTGTGATGTTAGTTATACCTTTTAAAATGTTTTTGGTTTTAAAATAAAATATTCTAAATAATTTTTTCTTATTATTTGCTCACTTTTACTTAAAAAAATATGTATGCTTATTATCCAAATATTAATATCACTGTTAATTATTGTTACTTTGGAAATTGATAATTTGTCTATTTGGTTATTGTCATTATTAAGAATGATTTATAAGAAATATCTATAAAATAAAATAAATAAAAAGAAGGTAAGATGGTGATCTTACATAGAAATCTTTGTTAACTTCTTACCTATTAAACTACGTGATTATTATTCAAAATAACATTTTCATTTATTTAAGTCTAAATATTTCATATTCATAAGATATATTTAACATTAAGTGTGTAGATATATGTTTTTAAGTAATTTACAAAAAGTGATCGAATCTTTACGATTCACGATTCGATTCGCAATTCTTTACGAGGCTATGTCGATTAACGATATAAATCCCGATTTGACAAATATTTATATGATTTTATGGAATTTCTTTTCGAGAGAGACAGAGAGAGAAAGAAAAGAGATTGATATTCACCGACATAGATAAGAGAAGCGAGAAGAGAAAAGAGATCAAAGGATAAGTTGGGTCTTGAATGACGGCTTTTTTTTGTCTCCAAAGAGCTAATTTCGTCACTATAGATATTAGTGATGATATATTTTCCTCACCAGTTTCGTCATTGAATGTTTGTCACTAAAAATCGCAGTGAGGAAAAAATAATTTCGTCACCAATAAAATAACTTTGGTGACGAAAATTTTTGTCACCAATAAAACAGCATTTTATCACCAAAAATCGTCATTTTCGTTATCAAATAGTTATTCAGTACTGTGTATATAACTTTTGTTGAACAAATTTGTCACATGTTGATCATTGATGAAAAAATAATTTCGTCACAGTAAGATGTAAAGTTGACGAAATTTTTCATCTCCAATAGTCAGACATGGGGGACAAAATATATTTCGTGACAAAAATATATATACTTGACGAAATTTTTAGTCACCAAACAACAAAATCAATGAAAACTTTCATATATAAACTGAGATAAATTTTGTCACAAAAAAGATTTATTAGCGACAAATAATCACTTTGTCATACTAACAAGTATAGATGACGAAAAAATTCGTCACTAAACTTGTTTCATATTTTATATTTCAATTTAAATTATTATTTCATAAATATCCCTGCTCATATCACAATAGCCTTTTAAATGTACTAAGAAATACACTAGCTATTATACACCACTCCACACAAAAAATTCACTAAACAATTTATATTATAAATCAAAATATATCCATCAAACAAATTTAATAATAATCCATTATTTATAACAAAAGAAGAAAAAAAAACATCATAGCAAATCCCAAAATGACCTAACGTGGAATCTGCAAAAAATAAAATAAACACTCAATCTTGATTTGCAACTAGAACTAAGTATCAGTTTACAAGAAAACTAAGTATCCATTCAGAAGAAAAAAAAAATTCAAACTTAATCTTGATTTCCAAGTATGCTTCCAAACGTCATCAAAAACCAATCTGCAAAGAAAAAAAAAACATTAATATATCATCAATTACATCTAAATTCATATATATATAAATAATTTTATTTTATAAACGAATTTAGTAAAAATGCATATAACAATCCAAAACTTCAAAGAGTTAAGGTGATCCTTGATGATAAGCAACACAGATAATAGAAGATGCCAAAAGATTGCAACAATACCATGTATCACTAGCACTAAAGCCAACAAGAACCAAAGAGAATCACAAGACATGTTTGACACAAACTAATCAGCTCATGATTTTTATCGGAGTTACCATTTTCATTTAAATCTAAATATTTTCCTGCTTTATTTTTAACCTCAAAGTGGTAAAAAAGTCAAAACACACCCATGCAAGCAAACAAAACAAAAACAAACACGCATGAATAGATATTGAAACAAAACACAATTAGACCTCCAAACAGTTTGGGTTAATTATATCTCACCGCAGTTTATGCATTGCAAATGCACCAGTGGCAAGAGATATGCAAGGAAGGTCCTCTCCCCAGATTTCATTTGCTCGATCCTAGTAATAAAACAATTCACATCAGAATATTTTCCACATACCACCTCGAAATTCCAAAAATAAAAATAAATAAATAAATAAATAAAAAGAGCGAAACGTGGCCTTGTCAAAATTAGTAAAAGCAACTGTATCAGTGCTTGGAAAAACCTCAAAAACCAACAATCCTTTCCACGATCACCAAACAATTTTAGAGATTAGAATGAATGTCTTAATCAGCTAGAACTCCACAAATCCTGCAGAGCCAATTAGCTATCCTGTTTTCCCTTATTTTCATTCTTATGTTGATCAAATGAATTTATTATGAAGAAAAAATATCATAACATAATTTATTATAAAATGAAGCAATAATTAAACCACTGTAGCTAATCACTTGTTACGATAAGGATATTGCTTCAAAAAAGGGGTTATTTACTGAAAGCCACCTTTCTGTCTGATTATTAAACTCAACCCTGAGTTGTCATTATTATGTCGATCAAATGAATTTATTCATGATTTTGAGTTGTGAATTATGAGGAACACTTCACTCTATAATTTATTCCTCTTTTTTATTCATAATAATAAATCTGGGTCTGTAGTGGGAAACAGAAGGTTGCCTTACTTGAAGATAGGCCAGAAGAGACTAAAAAATCAATTAAAAAAAAAAAAAATCCTTCCTGGACCTATCTCTGTGACAGGCCCAGTGCTATATCTTAGGTTGCCTCCAAACAACATAACAACTCAAAATATGTGCAAAGTAAATTGCAAGGCTATACCAGTAAGATGTGAACCAAACTTCAAGTTAAAATGATGTTAAATGTATGTTGAAAAAACAAAACAAAAAAGATAAGAAAATAAAGGAAAAGAAAAAAAAATTAAGATTTGTAGAAAATCACGAGAGATATAGTTCCTGAACTCAAGGCTTTGTGTGTTTAATGACTTGATTGAGTTTAATATATTTTTAAAACCATAATATTCACAAATTTCAGGAAAGGGTATACTATCACAGTTATGCATTAGAGGTTCAAGGGAATGTCTAAGGAAGAGAGATCACTGGTCCAGGAATATATGGCATGACAAATGTCAACATCACAGAGAAAACAGAAGCATATAGTTTTGCCAAACACATAAATACACCATTATTAGGAAAAGTAGGAAAAACTAAGTGTTTTCAGTATGACCTTCAAACGTCTGAACATGGCAGCAGAGTTGTTCCATGTACCATCAAGCAAAACAGAGTGCAAAGTTCTATCTCCATTTGTCTGTGCAGAATCAACATGAAAATTACCACCTTGTTGAACTGAAGTAAGAAATTGCACATTAAGTAGAGCAAAGCTACATTAATGACACACAACAAAAGGAAAGGAAAAAAAAAAAAAGAAAGGAAAGAAAAGATCCTACAAAATGAATTGAAATTTTCTGTCAATTATCTTTTCAGTTCTCACAATGGACCAAGGACAAAGTCTGGCGTGATGGCCAAGGCTTGATTCAAAAAATGGTCAGAGATAGAGTGAACTGCAAAGTAGAATTCCCATAGGCAAACCCCAATGGTCATAATAGGGCTTTCTTGGAATTAAAATGAAAATCAAAGACCTTCATTTTCACATAATCTATTCGACAAGCCAAGATTAAAAGAATTTTTTTGGACCTATTTTTCTTTAATAAAGCTACAACCCAGCAACATTTTCAAAAAATGTTCGCAAAAGGTCCCAAGAGATAAGGTGCTCATGTACATAGTACATGATGAACTTTTTCCCACAAAAATATATTTGCAAATGTATTAAAAGACAATCAGCATGATTCTTGATTTTTTAAATTAAAAAAGAAAAAGAAAATAATACCATGTTCAGTTTGCATTCTTGACCTGGTGAAGAATCTTGACTAAAGGTATCATGAACCGACTTTGTTGGTGCATTCTTGTTGGGATAAAGGCACCAACCCTTGTCTTTCACTGAAATCAATGTAGAATGCAATCAGAATTCTGTCATTTTGAAGGAATAGATACTAAGAAAACATCAACTTAGTCCAAGAATCATGGCCAACAAATATATTTGACACACATTCATGTAATAAATGACACCTGATGATTGCAGTTAAATTAGCAAAAGTGAATTCCGCAATACTACAACTGTAATATGCATTAGTGATGCAAATATTAAGCAAGGTCAGTATAGAAAGTATTATAAATGACCAGGAAGCCAGACTCAAGATCTAATATAGTTATTTGGTAAGATTCTAACTCAGAAATTGCCGAGGAAAATAATTGTTAATTTTTTAATACTGTTTTATGTTTTTCTTAAATTTTTAAGTCAGGCAGTTCTATAATTTTGTATTTTGGGCCATAAAGTGGGCTATCAAAATGGACTTCTTTTTGTGGGTTGATTTATGTAGTTTAAGTCATGTTTAATAGATCAGTCAAAACCTTCAAGCTTAAATGCATTCCACATTATTTGTTCAAGCTCAAGAATGCCATAGAGGCACAAAGTTGCAGCTTGAACACCAAATACTTGCCATAACAACTTCCATGTGTTATTTTGTCATAGAAAATCCTGCCAAAAGAGACTGTTGTCCGTGACCCTTGAAAAAAACTAAAACTAAATGTACATGAAATGATTATATAATTCAAACCTTTGGGTGCATATACAACCAGAACCGAATGCCATGCCAGAGAGAGCAGGGTATGAGTTTAGAGCACATGCAATCTTCTAGAGAAAGCCAGCACTAGAAATTTGTAAACAATTAAGAGTAAATAACTCTTCTGCTATACATAAAGTTTACTTTGATTTCATGTAAAGTTTTAGGAGCACTAAAGAAGACATCATATTACCCAATGAAACATTTTTGTTTGATAAGGAAACCACATACCTTTTCCCTACTACCTAGCAAGCGACATGCTATTTTCACAGTTTGATTTGAATAGGTCATTGCGAAGTCACATACCAGTGGAACTTACAATTGGTGAACATACCAGAAGTGGTGATACCCTAATTCTACGTGGATGTGGTGATAAATGCATATGTCTGAATCGGCATAACTAAAAGGTGTAGCGATTGTGTTTGCATGGAGATGAGCCCCATACATACTATTACTAGCAATTCTGAAAATAATATTTGTTGTATAAATTTAGAAGCTGCTTTAAACAGCCTTTTTGAACGACACATGTAAATGAGGGATGTGGGATTAGCACCTGCATACAGTTGTTAAATGAGGATGTAATCATCATTGTATTTATACACATTTCCTTTTCCGTAGATAAAGTATCCATGTGTCAGACGCAGGGGGACATTCTGTTATTGTGTTTGCCACACCAAGTTTTAGAGTCTTCTAATGTATCATAAGATAGAACCATAAAAAATCCCTTATCAAGACCTTATTTATTCAATTCCATAATAGAGAACACGGCTATAGATTCCAACCACATAGCCAACTGTATAAGAATTTGTCTTAAATGTGACTAGTTGCTTTAGGTCAATATCATTAGCTGGTTATATAGCTGTCTTTGTGGTATATACTGGAATCAAGTATTTTTTACCACTATGTAGCAGTAGCACTATCATATTGGTAAGCTGATGTTTGTGGTTGATCTTAAGAGGAGCTAAGTTTCTTAATATCCCGACTATTAAAACAATGTTTCTGTTTACATCTTTGCACTTCCCTCTCTTTTATTGCCACTGCTGCTGGTATGCTAGCCTAGCATTTAAGAAGGGGATGATCTAGTGGTATGATGTGATTATGCGATTCACTAGAAACATGTGAATTGTATTATATTTTGTTAAATTGGGATTAGAATGGGCTTCTAATACTTATCAAAAGAAAAATAAACAAATAAACAAATTAGACTCTACTATTGAGTGATAAACTTTATTGTTTGACACGAGTGGGCCTCACCCATCATGGGAGTAACAGCTATAAATTCATCAAAAAATAATGCAGATTTACCAATTTCCTTTGTTGTTGTTTTATTAAGGAAAATTTATGAACCAAAACTATTAAATATTCCAGGATCAAGTTGATAGCTGTAGTTTTGTGGTGGAAAGAAGGCTTTACTCACAGCTAATTTTGATTTATCTTTTCTCTTTTCTTGGAATATCATTTGGCAGAATGTCTTTTTGAAACTCTGTCGTTTGGGCATGTAGTTTTATACTATGGTATTCATTGCAAGTTCAAGTTCTGATGTATGGATTACTCAACTCAACTCAACTCAACAAGCTTTAGTTCTAAATGATGTAGGAACTATTTTTCAAAAATATTCTTTGTTTTTGTATGTTTCTATAAATGATGTGTTGCTTGATTGAGTGGTGTTTGAACTAATAATGACCAACCTGAAAATTTAATCACGAGAGTTTTGCTATTTCATCCCCAAGTCTTGTTTTTGATTATTTGAATCTTCAAAATTCATAAATTTAGTTAGTGTACATTTCATTGTCAAAAAAACAAAGGAACTGGCCTCTTTTTGGTAGATTTGGTGGTTTTCAATTCTGCAAATTCGATTCTCTGAAGAAAAGCTTGTTAGATGGTTCCTAACTTCTATAGATATTTCAAGGGCAGTAAAAAATTTACTTTTAATCTCAACATTTTAGTATCTCAGTCTTGAACTATTCGTCTAGGGATATATGATGGAATAGGGACAAATTCATATTAACCATAGATTGAGTGATTGTACACATGGAACAACTTTTTTTTTTCCCCTTCTAGATACATAAATATATATACACACACACATTCAATACTTAAGTTACCCAATGCCAATATTATAGTACTACAGAAAACCAAATCCCAGAAAGGAAATAATTAAGTTACCCAACTATCATTTTAGCAAACAACTTCTAGCTAATCCAAATGAAAGAGCATCTCAAATCACATTGAAATCTTTTCAGCATTATTGCACCAAAAACTCTCTAGGAAGAAATACATTTTAGATATAATGTATTTTATGGGGTACATTGTGGTTGAGAGGTAAAATCTGCCAACAACCCCATAGTTTATCAATAAAAACAAATGAATAGAGATATTTAATTTGATATACAACCAGAAAGAATGATAGGGAAGGAGGGAAACAGAACGAACAGGAGAAGAAGGAGAAGAGAGGGAGAAACCTATTTCAATCATTGGTAATGAAATTTCAGGCTTTCACAATCCAAAAAAGAAAAACAAGAAATTACATGTTCCTTCAATCGTTCTATAGAAACCCATTTCAATCATTGATTCATTGATTTCACATAAATGAAAACCCTACAACATAACAAAATAAACCCTAGAGCTAGAGGGAAATGGGGAAATAGAGAAACATATATATATATATATATAGAGAGAGAGAGAGAGAGGACAAAGATAAAGAGAAGAAGAGAAATAGAGAGAGGAAGAGAAAAACCTCAATGTTGAAACGATGCGATGCGAGCGGCGGTAGCAATGTAATGATGTTCGACAGTGGAAGATTGACGGTAGAAGATCGACGGTGAGCGACAGTGGAAGATGGACAGTGAGCGACGGTGGAAGATTGACAATAGAAGACCGACGGTGACTATGAACGGCGAATCAGTGACGGTGAGTCTGTGTGAGAGAGAGAGACAGAGACAGAGAGAGCAAGAGACTGAACTTGTCTGGGTGTATGTAAAGACAAAAAAATATGAAAATAAATAAATAAATAAATCATAATTAATAAATGGGACGGTAATGTGAAATTATTCCATCAAAAATAGATGCGTGGTTTATGAAATTTTTTAGTCGCCAAATTTCATCGGTAAAAATGTAATTTGTGTACTTAGAGAGAGATATGAGAGAAAAATTGATGGAAAAAAAAAATGAGTAATCTATTTTTTTTCATTACCACCTAATTTGTCAAAATTTTCCCTCCAAACTTAGTGACAAAATAATTTTCTTACTAAAAGGTTTCAAATTATTAAAAATTATTAGTAACGAAAATATTTTTCTCATCAAATAATCTTAAAATATTTAAAGTTTTTTGAAAAAAAAATATAATATTATTGGTGACAAAAATATATTCCTCACTAATAATTTTATATTTGTGACAAATTTTTTTCTCACCAAAAGTCTCAAAATTTTGGCGCCACCAAAAAAAATTAGTGGGAAAACCTTCGATGACGAAACTTAATTTTTCCTCATCTAAAAAGAAGTATTTATTGACGAAAATAAATTTTGTCACCTATTATTATTATTATTATTATTATTATATTATATGTGACAAAATTTTATAATTCGTCACGAATTATTCTTATTTAGTGACAAAATTTATTTTCTTCACTACTTTTCATCACTGTAAGTTACTTTTGTTGTAGAAGAGAGAGAAAACAGAGATCGAGAGAGAGAGAGAGAGAGAGAGAGAGAGACACGAAGTTGAAGCCGAAGTCATAGGGCCACGCTTGTCGAAGTCAAAAGGGAAAGTCGAAGCCAGCGACAGAGGATCGAAGGGGCCATACTTGTCGAAGTAGTCAAACAGAGGATCGAAGCCAGCGAGAGGTTCTCTCATTGCTCTCCCTTTCGTTTCTTCTGCATTTAGGACAAAATAGAGCTGTATCCATATGTAATGAACCATATCTCGGTCGTATCCCACACTCGTACCCATGTTGTGTTGTTTCGACATAGGTACCTCCAAAATTTCATAGAGTCCGTGTAACATAGAGTACACCCTTTTGAAGGGTGTGCATATTCGAATTTCCCATGATTTAATGACATTAACAAAATAGATATCGGGTTGAACTCAAAAAATGGATTCTTGTCACAAAGTTTAGTTCTAAAAGAATGTTTCACCTAATTAAATAGTCTCTTCTATTTTTTTTAATTGATATTTAAAATTTTTACTTTTGTGATTGCATGTCCCTTAGGGTATACAATTTAAATTAAATAAGTGCCATGATATTGGCTCCTATGGTTTATGGATTTGGGTATGAGTGTTGAGTTTGAATGTGTATTTAAGGTCGGATTCATCAAATTTCAAAGGATAAATTACACTGGCACCTCTTGAAGCATTTGTTTAATACGAATTCCCTCCTCATATTTGAAAAATTGCACTGACTCTCATGTTTGATTAAAATAACATATTTATTCCTTAGTCTTTATACATATAAAATAATAAAATAATACAGATATTTTATTCATGTCACTTCAAAGGAAATAACAATCATATTCTTTTGTTTAACTCATACAAAAAATTTAGTTTTTTTTTTAATTTTTTTAAAAAATTTTTACTCAATTTTTTAATATTTTAAGCAATAATTTTTTTTTTTAAATGCACCTAATCTAAATATACTTAAGAAGTATAATATTTTTTGATTTTTTTTTTAAATTCACCAAATACAAAAAACTATAAAAATATAAAAATTCAATACATTATCTTATTTTGTTATATTCAATGAATTTTTTTTATTTTATTTTTGTACAAATCTTATACTTATTAAATATTAGATTAAATTAATCTAATCTAGATATAATAGTGGAAATAAAAATTAAAAATTATATTCATATATAAAAATTCACACAAAAAAATATCATAAAAATGTTATGATAGTGATATTGTTGCAAATATAAATCATATTTATGGGTGTTTTGTTTTAAAATGAAAGGTCACCATTATGTATTTGAAAATTCTATATAAAATTTATGTTTGTGTATCATCACTCAATAAGAACATATTCAGGTAGAATTTAATGATGGAAAATTGTAGAATGTAGTCCTGATGATAAGAAAATAAATGGTAGGAAAAGGACAAGACAGTCATTTAGAAACTTTTAGGATAAATTACACTGACACCTCCTTGAGGTTTCTGTTTAATACAGATTTTTTCCTCACGTTTGAAAAATTACATTCCCCTCCTTGATGTTTGTAATTTCATTAAAAATGGTCCCCTGGATAGCTAATGTGATGCTCTAAAATTTTTTAAATGACCATTTTCCTCTTCTTTTTTTTCTACCATTTCTTCTCCCTATTATCTGGATTGCATTCTACAACTTTCCACCATTAAATTCTACCTGAGCATATTCTTATTGAGTGATGACATACAAAAATTAATTTTATATAAAATTTTCAAACACAATGATATAGCTTAATAGTGACTTTTCACTTTAAAACAAAACACACCCATAAATATGATTTATATTTATAACATCACTATCATAATATTTTATGATATTTTTTGTATAAATTTTTATATATAAATATAATTTTTCATTTTTATTTCTACCATCATTTTTCTTTGTTGTCTATTCATCTACATTTATTACAGTATTACCAAATACCATCATTCACATTTATTACAGTATTATTGAATTTTTGTATTTTTATATTTTTTTTGTATTTGGTAAATTTAAAAAAATCACAAAATATTATACTTCTTAACTATATCTAAATTAGGTGTATCTACAAAAATAAAAAAAAAAAATTTGCTTAAAATATTTTTTTCAAAAAATTCAGTAAAAATAAAAACACAAAAAAAATAAAGAAATTCAATTTTTTGTGTGAGTTAAACCAAAGAAGATAACTGTTATTTCTTTTGAAATGACATGAATAAAATATCAGTATTATTTTATTATTTTATATATAGAAAGGCTACGGGGTAAATATGGCATTTTAATTTGACAAGGGGGTAAGTGTAATTTTTCAAACGTGAAGAAGAAATCTGTATTAAACAAAAACCTCAGGGGGAGTCAGTGTAATTTATCCAAAATTTTAAGGCATGACATCAGCAATCCAAGAGACAATTTGGAGATTACAAATCTCAGGGAGGAGAAAATAATTTTCTAAATATGAGAGGGAATCTGTATCAAACAGAAACCTCGGGAAATGTCAATGTAATTTACCCAATCTCAAAATTAAATATATGAAACTCTGCGCGCGTGCACACAAAAAAGTCATATTTTTATATTTTTTATTTGAGTATTATGTGTAATGGACGGTATCAAAAAAAAAGAAAAACTAAAACTTATTGTAAAGCATTTATACAACAATTTCACTCATTTTACCAATGTTCAATGTTGAGTATCCGATAATTTAAATAGTCCGGGCAGTATATTGTTTTTTTTATTTGTTTTTTTGGGATCTATATTGGATCTAACATTGAAATCTTGGATTTTTTTATTACTATTATTTTTTTATTTTTATGACAAAAGTTGAGTCCCTTGAAAGGGCCGTTTATTCATAAATCCCTCTTCAGCTCACTATGTGTCACTTAATTCAAATTATTTTCTTATATTCCAATAAGTCCTATGGGTGACATAATTACCAAAATACTCGTAATAACAATATTCACTTTGACAATGTGAATGTTACATTCACACTGTCAATATGAATGTTTAAGTTATTAAGAGTTCAAAAAATATTTATAAACGTAAAATTATCTATAAAATTCCTTAAACATGAGAATTGTGATTTGGTGGATCAAATATCCAAATAAGAGGACATGTTTAAATGCAAAAATATATTATGGATTAATTGACATATAAATACTTAAAAAATAATTTCCTAATAAATCTCTCATTTTGAAAACATATTACCGAAATCTAGGTCTTTGCACATATTCTCAAACCCATGTTCCTTTTGGAAGTTGAGTATTGAAAATATGATTTCAAAGTAAAAGTTATGCTTTCAAAGTAAAAGTAAAATTGTGCTTTAAATACATAATTTTAATTAATGTATTGTTAAATTTTTTACATTTGCCCGTTTGAAACACAATTTTAAATCTAAAGTTGTATTTTGACAACACGACTTCAAGATTTGAAATATATAAGTTCAAAAGTATTTGCATTTGGTAATTTGTTTTTAATAAAAGTTGCTTTTGATCTTGAAATCTTTTGTATGATTGGACAGTAACAGGACGAGTGACAGTTAAGATTGATGTGTTTAGTTTTGGAGTAATTTTAATGCAATTGATTATTGGAAGAAATGCGGAATTTGAACTTGAGCCCCAACAGGATGAGTACATTGATCTCGTCGCATGGTTTTGTAAAATACGTATTTACAAAGGCTCATTCCAAAAAGCTATCGACCCAACAATTGATCTTGACGAAGAAATACTTGTGAGCATCAACACTGTTGCTGAGTTGGCTGGTCATTATTGTGCAAAGAACCCCTCACAGAGGCCCAACATGGCCCACTATGAAGCACGGATACTTCAAAAAGGGTGACGTATCCGTTTCGGATACTTATCGGATACCGATACTCCTTGGATACTTGCGGATACGTATCGGATACTTCTTAAAAGTATCGGATACTTCTTAATTAATTTTTTATTAATTTTGAAGTATCGGATACTTAATTTTAAAGTATCGGATACTCGAAGTTACATATTACTTATAATATTTTGTTTAGTTCTTTGATAAGAGGAATATAGTGAGAGTTAAAGTAATAGAATTTGTCAAATTGATGTATCCTTGTTGTCTCTCTCACTTCTCTCTCGCTTTCTCACTCTCTCACGTTTCTTCTCTCTGCTCTCATTCTTTTTTTGATGTTGGCATGTAAGGATGATGTTTCATTTGCATTTGCTTTTGCTTTTAGTTTTGGATGTTTTATGAATGTTTGAGCACTTTTAGGTTAATAGGAATCCCTCTCTTTATTTGGTAATTTACTTTAAGTTTTATTTTCATGCACATTACATTATTAAAATTATAAAAAAAAAAAATTTACGAATGTATCCCCGCTGTACCCGTATCATACTTTTTCAAGTTTTGACATATCGCCATATCCACATCCCCATATCACCATATCC